ATATGAGAGAGAGGGAGGGAGGGAGGGAGAGAGAGAGAGAGAGCGAGCGAGCGAGCGAGCTTTACCTCTTTTTGCCTTCTCTTCTCTGATCTCTTCTCCTCTAACTCCTGTTATCTCCCACCCTGCCTTTCTTCTAGCTAACCAGTTTCTGACCCCCTCCAGAGGCAACCTGGGGACAAGGAGAAAGGAGAAAGACATTATTTGATCAGATAATTTAGTAAAGAGGCTTCTTGCTCTATGGGCTTGGCATATGGGTAAAGACATCAATGTGATCCTAAGATCTTCTAAAGTTCTGTGCTGGGTGCCTCACACTATAAAACCCAGCTCACTGGCCATATAAGACTTTTTTTCCCTCTGGTTGCCTGGCTGGCTGCTTCCATCAGTACCGGATTCACTGGCAATCTAGTGCACATAGACTTACAGTGTAGATGTTCCAAATTTTCTCCCAGGTGAACCCACTGAAGGGATCTTACAATAGTCTCAGCTCAAATCCTCCATGGGCTTACGTCTGGCCCATGGGCAGTTCATACAATCTCTCCTGCCAGCAAACTCGAGGAATAATCACAGGTCCCAGAACAGCAGTGCTCTCCTGGTCAATCCTTCTTCACCCTCTGGATTTACTTGGCCCCAAGTAGGACCCTAGTCTACCCTGCTTCCCTCCCAACTTCAGGAACATGGGTCAGAACTCTTGGGGTGGGCCCAAGGGACCCTTTTCCCTAGATGATGGTGTAGGAAATAGCACCCTAGGGGTGACGGCAAGGACTCTCTTCAAAGAAACCTCTTCCCTTTACATCCTCGATGTGGTTGAGGGAGTCAAGATCATGGATCTAACTCTTCCACATTTTCAGATTTGCAAAAAAAATGATTATTTGGATTTTCACCTCTCTCATACTTTGATGTCAGAGTAAAAGCATAATTTTAACACCCTATTACCAGAGCTTAACATGAACAAGGTCATCCTCTGTTTCACCCTTGACACACTCCTTCTATGTGGTTGGGGTAGGCAATTTCTCTTGCTCTTACACAGTGGTCTTTTGAGCCCACACTGTCGTAGGGCCAATATTTTGCTCTCTCTCAAGTGCAAAACCTGTTTTTACAAAGGGGTACAAGTCATCATACAACTAAGCAAACCTGAGATTCAGTCCTAGTTCTACCATGAATTAGCTCTCATTCCTTCTCTGGTCTCTGAGCCTAGTCACTTCAACTGGATCACAAAGGGGTTGGGTTATAAAGTATCTAAAGATCTTTTTACCTCTCACGGTCCACACAGATACATGATGTAAACCAGTGAGGGGTGGGAAACTGGAAAGATATCTGGGAGCCTAGCCTGGACAGATTGGAGATCAGGGTACCAAATAGAGAAGTGAGATGTCTTCCGGGAAACTGCGTTCACAGTCAACAATCACCTGGCTCCCTCCCTCTGCCCCTCACCAGGCTCATCAATGAGAATGAAGTGAAACAGTGGCGTGAGCAGGCAGAGAAGGTCCGGAAAGGTGAGAACTTCTGCATGATCCACACACCCCTCCTCTGCCCAACCCAGGACCTCGTCTCCTCCCAGGGAGGGTTTGCACATATACTCACACCCTCTCCTCCCATTTCCTCTCTGGTTCTACCCCAATCCCAGAACACACGGAACTCGTGAGCCGGCTGGAGAGGAAGGAGCGGGAATGTGAAACCAAGACGCTGGAGAAAGAAGAGATGATGCGGACGCTGAACAAAATGAAGGACAAGCTGGCCCGAGAGTCCCAGGAGCTGCGCCAGGCTCGGGGACAAGTTGCAGAGCTGGTGGCCCAACTCAGTGAACTCTCAGTATGTGGTCACCCTACCCGCCTTTTACATAGTTGAGTCCAGGATGAGGGAAAAGAGAGGGCGAGAACTTAGGCCAGGAGAGAAGAAATCCCTGACCATATGGATGGCATCTTTGTGTTAGTTAGAAAAAATAATGAATAATGCCCCTTGTTCTGGGTGACACTGTCCCAGGAAGCATGTCTTGTACAGCAGAGTGCAGGTGGGGTTTTGGCTCCCCCACCCCACCCTTCCAGCTGGAGTCCCCTATGCTGTTGATAGCCTGTACAACTGTATGTATCAATCCTGCTGTTTCATTGTGATGATTATGCTCCTGACTGTCCACTGTCCATGTCTGTATGTGACTGTAGGTGTGTGTATGTGTCTGTGTGTGTGTTGGATGTTTGGGATGCAGAGAGAGAAAACAAGGCTGAGTGTGTGTGTGTGTGTGTGTGTGTGTGTGTGTGTGTGTGTGTGAGGTAAGAGCAGGATTTGGGGTCTAGACTAGACAGAGAATAAGAGGAAGAAAAGGAAGAGTGGTGGGGGACCTGAACAGTGTCAGTGCTGACAGCTTTGTCCTTTTGATTTTTCTGTCTCCTCACAGACAGGCCCTGTATCTTCCCCGCCTCCCCCGGGGGGCCCACTCACCTTGTCTTCTTCGATGACCACCAACGACCTGCCTCCACCCCCACCTCCTCTGCCCTTTGCCTGCTGCCCCCCTCCGCCACCACCACCCCTTCCTCCCGGGGGCCCCCCTACTCCTCCAGGTGCTCCACCTTGCCTGGGCATGAGCCTGCCCCTCCCTCAGGACCCCTACCCCAGCAGTGATGTCCCACTCAGGAAAAAGCGTGTCCCCCAGCCTTCCCACCCACTGAAGTCCTTCAACTGGGTCAAGCTGAATGAGGTGAGTTTTGAGTGTCTAGGAAGGGTCAGTGGGTCCATTCTTCTGCAGCAGGGCAGTCCGACTCATGGTTTACCTGCCACTGTTTGCAGATCCCCACCTGGGTCCTTTCTTTGTTGGGGGGAAGGGTAGTCTCTGTGGATACACAGGATGGATGTGCTGTGTCAGGCAGCTCACTATCCACGAGGGAGAACATATACACTGGGAGAGACCCTTGACCTGCGGCAGTGCTCACATTGGCAAAGTCACTGACATTTGCATTTTGTATGCACTGAAGGTTAATGGAGTTACAGAGACAGACAAGACAAGAGCTAGGCAGAATTTCAAGGACAAGGTCAGTTTGAGGAAAAGGGTGGAAAAAAGGCAAAGAGCCAACATCCACGTCTTGGTAAAGATCAGAGCAGTGGGTACAAAGGACTGAAGAGTTTGATGTCAAGATGTACCTCTTTTGGCATCCCTGCATGGGGAAGGTTAGACTGGCCAGGTTTCTAGATCAGCAGTGAGAGGCCCTCATGAGTTTGATCCACTATTAATCACCAATCCCAAACCCACAGGTGGGAGTGGATTCCTCATGAGCATAGAGTAGAGATGCCCTTGTCCCATCAGACCTAGTAATTGAAGGGCAGTTCTGGCCTGGGCCAACCCCTGCCTCTAGTTCTGTACAGTGGCATTCCTATTAAGAGGACTGGGAACTTTGTCCCTGAGGTAAACACCCACATGGTCACTGGATTCAGTTAGCCTGGCTCTTACCCTTACTTCAGCATCAGGCACCATACAGACACCAAGTGGGAGCTGGGATGAAGGGACCTCGTTATAGGGGCCTAGTGGACTGGCTCTTGGGGAGTTCATAACTGTACCATTCGGTTTGGGCTTCATTGGACTCAAATGGATAGTCTGGTGGGAAGAGATGCAAGATTGCTAAGTAGGTGGTCATCTACTTGTTAGGTACCCTGCTGATGGCAGACCAGCTAGCCTGTCCACCTGGGGTCTGCTTTAGGTAGAGCTTTATACTGGAAGCTATGATGGTTATTAACAAAAGGTAAGAGCTGACATTGTCCCATCATAGCTCGGGGTCTGGCAAATTAGGAAGTGTGATTAAGGAAATACCTAGGGATCCTGGGAGTAGGTTGAGGGAGAGTTTCTAATCTTTAACCAAACCTGTAACTACCTGTGCAATGTCTGTAAATTACTTATCTTGACTCAGTTTGCCCATCTGTGAGATGATCTCTAAGATTCCTTTTGCCTCTGGTTTTATAATCTAGGTGGAAGGATGAAACATGAATGCAGTCCATTCATAGTCTCTTCCTGGGCTTCTAATAACATCTCCTATCTTGAGTTATTAAAGCTTTAGAGCCCTTGTTAGCAGCATTTCGAAGCAAGGTGGTCAAAGTTTGTGATGAATACACTGCACACCTGTGTCCTGTGGGTGCTTCTCCATGGCCACAAGGCGAGCCAGCAAAGCCAGCTATGTATGAGCAGGTGCACCACTCAGCAAAACCCAAGGCTGTGCAGAAACATTGATTGTTCATGATCAGAAATAATTTTTTATTGTAAAAAGAGGAATACTTTGTCTCCTATACACACAATGTATAATGTAAGGTTTTTAACAATGTAATGAAAAGTTATGCTCGTCAATGAATAAGGAAGGTAGACAAGGCAACCAATATTTTTGCATAATTTTTTATCATATGGATGAAGTCCTTTGTGTTTAGGATTTTCTCTGGGGTCTAGTAATAGTAAAGTCTGTGCAAATTTTCTAGGGTCCCAGAACAGACCAGAGTTTCATTCCTAGATGGGAAAGTATGGGTTTGATGGAATAGACAATGAGAGGCATTTATAGAAGTTACAGACATTCTCTGCAGGAGTGGGGAAGAGAGGCATTGAATAATATTTGAGAACCTTTGATCCCTGTCCCAAACTTTTAGTTGTGGACAGGGCAGGTTATTGAAATGTTTGAGCTTCAGGTTCCTGATTTGTAAGATAGGGGGATAATAATAACATCTATCCCAAAGGTTTCTGTGAGGATTAATTCACTTAATACATATGAAATACTTGGAACAGTGGCTGACACATAGAAAGTCTTCATAATAATGATATTGGGATAATTATTATTAGTGGCCCAGCCCTGTGGGCTTTAAGTATGCTATCTCACTTAATTCTCATATCAACTCAGTGAGGCAAGCATCATGATGCAGGGCTGTGTAAAGTTGCCCTTTATGGGACATGAGAAAAGAATAGTATCCCTCCCTCTGCTCACAGCCCTGCATCATGACAGGGCTAACCCCAAGAGCAGTGCTTACGAGGAAAACAAATGCAACATTTTTCTGAGAAAGATTTCTCTGGCATGTGAAATATATCTCTAGGGGGCAGAAGTTTCAGGAGTCTAGACTGGAGATGGTGGGCTCTTGGCCACAGTAGTGGGAAAATCACATTCAATAATTATTATACAAGGTGGGCATGTCAGGGCAACAAGGTGAATGTTAGGATATGGATAATATTAGGAACAGACCTACCTCTCTCTGGCTCCAGACCTCAGTTATAGCTCCATGAAGAGCCTCAATTCCTTCTGGCAAATGCGGGCAAGCTGGGGGTGGGGCGAACAGTGTTTGGGAAAAAGGGAGAGACAGGGAGCCAGAGCTCAGTTTGCTGTCCCAGGGGAAATTCTTTACGGTGGTGAACAGCCTACTCGCTGCTCCAGCCCCTTTCTTCTAGCCCTAGCCTCACCAAGAATACAGAAGGATGGGAGCTAACCTCTGGGGCTTCTCTCTCCTCTACCTCCACCTGGGCCTAGACTCAGAGGGATGCCTCCCTGCAGAGCAGACTCATGACCACAGAGCACCCCATGCTGTTTCAGCAGGCTCTCTCCCTGCCTTCCCTAATTCCATTCTCTTTCCTATCCTTCCTCTACCTTTCATGTTCCCCTTTCCAGGAGCCTGACTCCTCTCCTAATTCCCTTCCCCTATCCCCCATGCTCCTGTGTACAAGCATGTGTAAACACACACACACACACACACACACACACACACACACACACACACACACACACACACACACACACACACATATGCAGTGGTTGTTTCTGCCATGAAAAGAATGCGTCTGTGTTGGGGTTGGCCAGTTGCCTGTATCCCTTGCTGCTCTGAGTTTCCCAGCCAGCATTCCACAAGAGGGTCCCTGGCCTTCTGAAGGCCACAGGAATGTCCCTACCCCCCAACTCTGGCCTAGCCTCTCCTTTCCAGAGTTTAAGAAAATAAAAGTGAGTGAGAGGTATGTTTCTCTCTTCAAGCCTTACTGGGGAAAAGATATAGGCAGGAAGAGGAGGAGAAGGAGGAGAAGGAGGAGGTGGAGAAGGCATAAAGGTTTCCCGGCTGTCCTCTAGTTAGAGGGAGGCAGGGAGATTCTACGAGAGGGGAACCCAAAAGACCTAGAATCTATTTATAAAAAAATGTATATTTATTCTTGCATGTTTAAACTTCAGTCACCTTAAAAATACTCTCCGTTTAATGAGATGCTTTTTTCATTGCTCAGTTTTTGAAGTCATCAATGTTGATGCCTTTTAGTGCTTCTGCCATTTTTGTTTCACCTGTTCTACACAGGCAAAAATGTTTCCCTTTGAGGACTTTTTTCATCTAGGGAAACAAACAAACAAAAAAGTTGATTGGGCAAGATCTGGTAAATCGGGAGAGACACAGGGATCATGTTGTTTTGGGTCCCAAACTGCTGAACACTCAGCACAGTGTGGGCAGGTGCATTGTCATGGTGGAAGAACCAGTCACCTGTTGGCTACAACTCGGGATATTTCTTTTGCAAGTCATGATGCAACCTTCTAAAAACTTCCAGATAAATACTTTGGTTGATCATTTGATCTGGAGAAACAAATTCCAAGGGTTCTACAAAGGTCTCGTACTTCAAATGATAATTCTGCTTGTTTTGGGGGAGGGCTCTCATATTTGGAAGGACAGCAAAGCTCTGGATAAGGTGGGGATTTCCAGGAAGAGTGGGGTGGAATGCCCTGGTGGGGGCTTTGCTTTCTGTGCTCTAAGCCTGAAGTGCAGTCTCCTGTCCTTTAAGCCATCAGCAGGCAGGATGCTACAAGACTGCTGGGTTCTTTTATTTTTATTTTTTGAGTTGACTTGTCTAACAGCTCCTTTCCAGACCCCAGCACAAGGGTCCTCTAGAGAGACAGGAATGTAAAGACCTGGGCCCATCCCAGTCATTGAGGATGGAGACGCCTTCCCTGAATTTGACCAAAGGGAGATTATGGCTGAGTCACTAAAGGTGCCAGGGCATCCCAACGATTGGTATTTGTTCACTTTCTGGGAATCTGGGAAAGTGGAAAGAAGATACTTGACAAAGAAAGTGACCATCTCAGAGATAGGAAATACAGTCTGTGCTGAGGCTTTGAAGATCCCAAGTTAAGTCTGGCCCTGATTCTTCCAGTGACTGCAGTCAAGGATGAGGCCACTCCCAGGCCCCTACCCTTGAGGGAAACGGTACCTGTGTAGAATATGCTGAGAACATGGGTTCTGCCTTTGCTTCTCTGGAAGGAGTGCAGCACAACCCCTTTCCTACTACCCACCCATCCCTCCAGCACTCCCAGTGATTTCTGGACCATTCTTACACGTGGCCTTGTGCAAAAAGGAGAAGGAGGCTTTCTCTGGCCTCTTCTCTGGAGCAGAGTATCAGAGAGGGGTAGAGGTGAGGTGGGATCAGAGGGCCTGCCTTCTGAAGGCCTGAAATCCTAGTCGTCGTTGTATGTGCAGTTGGGCGGCAAGTGGAAATGGGGGTATTTGGGCATCTCCATAATTAAGGAGTTGGGCCAACCCTATCTTCTCCCCTCCTACTCCCTGAATCCTAGGAGCGTGTCCTTGGCACGGTATGGAATGATATTGATGACATGCAGGTATTTCGGATTCTGGACCTAGAGGATTTTGAAAAAATGTTTTCAGCATATCAGAGGCACCAGGTAAGACCCTCACCCCCTCTGGCCTCTTAAGTCTTGACTTCCAGTCTTCCACATACCACACCCTTAAACCTCAAACCTCAGCCTTTTCCTTCCTCCCTTCCTTCCATCCTTCTTCCTTCCTTCTTCTTTGCCTCCCTCCCTTCCTCTTTTCCTCTTTCTCCTTCTTCCTTTCCTCCCTCCCTCCCTCCCAACCTCTTTCTCTTTTTCTTTCTTTTCCTCCTTCCCTTTCCTCCCTCCCTCCTCCTCCCTTCCTCCCTTCCTCACCACACACTTAAGCCCAAATCTCAGTCCCAGTCCCTTTTTTCCTCCCTCCCTCCCTGTCTTCTCCCGTCTTTCCTCCCTCCTCCCCTCCCTCTTTTTCTCCCTCCCTGCCCTCTTTCTTCCCTTCCTCACATGTATACCGAATGGCTGTATTCTTTATAGGTACCATGTGCCTGTGGAACTATGAGTTAAAGGCGTGAAGTCCAGTAGGGGGAACATCCCACTGTGTTGCAGTTTATGCTTACACATCAAGTATTAAAATAAAAATTTGTCCATTCCTCTCTTACCCTGGAGCATTGGAGGCAAAGTCACAAGGCCTGGTCACTGTTGACCTCTACTCTCTTTGGCCCAGGATTTAGAGACCAGGCCTAGAAGGCCCTATAACTTTTCAAAACATTTTCTCCATTGTATTTTGTCTCTCGACATTTCTAGGAGACTGTTGGGCAGAGGATGTTAGAGTTGCAAGGGAGGTGGAAGCTGCTGCCTCCGGGGCTGAGGCTAGGGCTGGGCCCTGGGCAGCCCCAGAGAGGCACTGGGGATTGCTCCACAGGCTCTACATGCAGATGACTGGCTAGCATGACTGGTCCTTCAGCCACAGAGGAAGTAGGGGGTGAGTTGGTGGCAGAATGCAAGGCACTCCTGAAGCAGTGGTCTCAAGCTATGCCGAATCCCTGTGGGGACTGCCAAAAATACTGATTCTCAGATCTCATCCACACATGAATGTGATTCAAGACATGAGCTGGGGCCCAGGAATCTGCATTGTAACTAACACAGCTGATTGTTACACACATCGTAACTAATACCAGCCCAGTGGCCTTAGGTATTTGCTTGCTCTCTGGTCTGCCTCAGAGAGACTGTTTCCTCTTTGGGCTATACTACCACCTTTCTTGTTTTCTCTACTCAGCCTAGCGTTCCAGTCTTGAGGACTTCCCCAGGTGCCAATGAGTAGGTCCTGGCAGTGGCTGGATGTCATGGCCTGGCTCCCCACAGGACTAGAGGTGCCCTGGCCCTCTTTCTGCCAAATGCAGACCTGTAGATGACTGAGGACACATGCAACCACTCCCAGGGCACTGGCCAAAGAAGTGGGGGTGGGGAGTTAGGTTCTAGCCCCATGATTGCTAATTTAATTTAAATGTGGGTGCCCATAGCATCTGGTTCTCTACCCTTAATTCTAGGAGACATTTTCAGCCATGTCCATGTCAGGCAGCAACTGAGGCTGCGGGAGCTGGGAGGAGCTCTTCTGAGCACTGGCTTCTGTGAGTCAGGGCTCCCTGAGGGGTGCCGAGGACAGAGGAGTGTGTGCAGGAGGCCTGCAGGCAATCACACACCTCCTCCTAGTTTGAGAGTCTTCCTCCAGGCTCAGCAGGGCTGAGACGGGGCCAATCAGGAAAGAAGGGTATGGTATTTAGGACAAACTGGGTCTGGGTCCTCCCAGTTTGGTGAGCTGAGGAGAGCTAAGACCGAATGACCTCCTGTTCTGTCCCCACTCACCTTTCTGAGCCCACTCGGTCAAGCCACCTGCCTCCTGTCACTCATTGGGCCACCCAGTCTCTGGGACTGAAGTCATAGCACCAGAGCTAGTGGGATCCCAGAGATTCTATTGCCCTTGTCGCCTCCTCTCCCTGTCTTCGGGGCCTGGGCAGTTCATCATGGAGCAGGGGAGGACCTAGGAGCCATGGTCTTTTCTTCATGCCACATGCAGGTCTGAGTTGGTGGCTTCAACTCCATCAGTGTCAGGAAGGGGGAACACAGGTGAGGCTATGACTCCTCAGCTCCCCTTAGACGTGAAAGGACAGATAGGAAGCAAGGAGCAAATTCAAGGACACTTGTTTTCCTCTGCCTCAGTGAACACAACTTCCAGCTCAAGTTCATTTGTGTCTCTATTTAGAAAGATGAACTCATCCCAGGGTGGAAGAATGCCCTCTACCCCCTCTGCAGATGTTCAGCAGAGAGAAAAGGAAGAACAGGCAGTCAAGGCCTGGGGTGGGGGAACTCAGGGTCTTGATGCCCTGACTGGGGAGTGGTGGTCCCATGGGCAGGTGGGAGGAGCTGCCTGGTCTCCGCTTTGTTTGGCTACTCAGGGAGTGCATGTCTGCTAGAACAGCTCCTGTCCAGTGCTACTTCCAGGTCCCTGTCTCCAACCATGGGGGTCTCATTGGAACAAAGTGGACAGAGAAGATCCCCATGTCTGTCCTGCTATTTCTGGTCCCCAAACCTCTTGGCTAATGTTGTGCATGTTTAATTCTCTGTTGGCTGTGGCTGCTACCTGCCTAGGAGCTGATAACTAATCCTTCTCAGCAGGTGAGTTACTCTTGGGGCTCTGAACACTCCAACTTTTAATCACTGTCCTTGCGGCTGCCCTGTCCTGGGCCCGAAAGAGTGGGACTTGTCTATCCCACCTTGTACCTTATTTCCTATCCAGACAGGGTAGCATGGGGAAGGGTCCCCAAAGAAAAAGAAGAAATGAAGGAGAGGGAGGTAACCAAGCAGACCCCTGGCAGCCATGGAGGTGCATGTCTCCTGGAGTGAGGAGAAGGCTTCTAGGCCAATTGTCTAAGGAAAGCCCTTCCCTTAAGATTGCACAGGGTGGGGGTTACACAGTATTAGGGGCACAATTCACCAAGATAATGATGTGAGTGGTGGCCCCTGTAGTTGTGAAACATGAGTCTCCCAGATTATGAACAGTGCACTAGACAACCTCCTGTCTATCTCACAGGGGCCCAGGAGAAGGGGGGAGGATGGAATCTTTGACTTCTTGGGATTCTACCTGCTGGAACCTTAGAGGAGAGAAGCTACCTCAGGTTCTGCACCTCTGAACTTGTGGATGCTCTCTACCCTGGGTGCATCGGGCTGTGCCCCAAGTCCCCAGCAGTCAGAAACTGTGGTCTTTGGGGGCTCAGGACCAACTTCTCTCATCATAAGCCTGAGGAAGACTCTGAGCGGGGTGGTGGCATGGGGGTTGATTCTGTGGGGGACATGGTAGGTCATGTCACATTGCCCAAAGCCACAGGGGTCCGTCACACCCTCCTCCACTGGAGTAGCTCTTTCCCTGGCTTGCCCAGGGATGATAATTTCTAAAAAGGGGGCTCCCAACTGTCCTTCCCCAATCCATCCTCGTCCATGATGAGTCCCAGATGCTTCTATTAAAGTGAGTTTTAGCCACCCTCCTGTCTTTTTCTTCCCCTTCCCTTCTTCCCCTCACTCCAGGAGCATTCCTGGGGTAGCAGGGGTGGCTCCTTGGGGCGGGGAGTTGGGCAAGAGGAGATATGGGGAAAAACACACCCCTCAACCTTCCACTTGTCGGTTGCAGAAAGAGTTGGGCTCCACTGAGGACATCTACCTGGCCTCCCGCAAGGTCAAAGAGCTGTCAGTCATTGATGGCCGGAGGGCCCAGAACTGCATCATTCTTCTCTCCAAGTACGTGCTCGCCCTACCTCTGTGACCTTTGCCCCCTCATAGGTTCCTGAGGGGGAAAGGGGAAGAGAATGGGCCCCTGAGGGAGGGGGGGGTCCAGATAGGGCTAGAGCAAAAAAGGTGGTTGAACTGAATGTCCAGAGGAGAAAGGTGGCAGAGGAATGGGGTGGTGGCAGTCCCTTGCCTCTCCCTCTCTGCTGTCCCCTGAGCAGGGTGGCAGGCACTGGTCTGGAACCCTCTCCTGGGAGCCCAGGTTGAGCAGCAGTGCAGGGCTCTGCAGACAGGAAACTTCCCAGCCCTGAGGCCCCTGACCAGCCTGGTCAGCGTCTGGCAGCTGAGTTGCACTAAGCCCATGGAGGGCCCCCGCTTGGCTTAGGCCACAGAGCAGCATGATCTCAGGCCCTAAGCATTTCCCTCGGCTGCAGAACAAACAGGGCAGTATCTGCGCTAACAGCATGGCTTCTGTGCGGGCCTCCTGCCTGATCATGGTCGGAGGGCACGCCTCCCATACTATTCTTAGTGCTGCCCCCAGCTGCTTCTGGGACATCCACCCCCCTTTTTCTCCCACAAGCCCCCGGGCCTCGGTTTCCCCCAGTTGATGGTGGGGGAGAGTCCTGAATTCCCAGGGTTCCTAGTGGGTAAGAGGGTAGAGGGGATAGGGAAGGGCTGTGGGTGTGTGTGTGTGTGTGTTGGGGAGGGTGACTTCTCCCTCTCCCAGACAGCGAGACCGACTGGGACAGCTGTGTGGGAGCTGAGACGTTGTCAGGAGACTGAGAGTGATCCTGTGTTCTGAGAATGAAGGCAGCAGGAAATTGCCCCCTCAGTGGCTTGCTGGTCTCCCCGTCCTCCCATGGATATGCTGTACATTTTTTAGGCATGAGAAGGAGGAGACGACTCAGAAACCCTTTGCCCTGTCTCTGCAGTCTACACTGAAGACATGCCTTTTACTCCCGAATGCTGCTATCGGTTCTGACAGAGTCTCAAGCAAGAGACCAGAGACTCAAGTCTTTATTTAGAGATTCAAATGCTCATTATCGAGTTTATGGAGTGAATCATATTAGTTTAGTCTGAGAAATCTTTGCAGAGGAGGTGAGGAGGGAGTGCTATCAAATGCACTCCTAAGTTCACATTAGGAAGACTGGGAAGGCTATATCTTTTGGAGAAGGTCTGGGGGCTATTCTGGGCTGAGGGGCCAGGCCATACTGCTTAGGGTATGGGGTTTTGCCTTAGGTTGAAGCTTTCTAACGAGGAGATCCGGCAGGCTGTCTTGAAGATGGATGAGCAGGAGGACCTTGCTAAGGACATGCTGGAGCAGGTAAGGACTCTCATGGGATGGGAAGGGGAATTGAACCCAGGCAGCAGCCATACCCCTTCCCAACAGCCCCCAGAGAGGCTAAGACACTTTAGTCAAGGAGAAATTGAGCTAGTAGAGTTGAGGAAAAGGTTTGTAGAAACTTCCCTTGGCCAGGCTTTCTGGAGGAAGACTGAAAAAGGTTGCATCTTTTCCAAGGGGTTTGAGGCTGCTGGAAGGAGATATATGGTAGTCCTTCCTGGGTCTCAAGGCAAAATCAGGGTGACCAATAGTTATTTCTTCCCCAAATCTCTCCCATCTCAATCTGTTAAAAAACCATCAGTTGAACTTTGTTAAAAGAAAGAACTTTTAACTGTTTTAAAAAGTAAAAACTTTTAACTGTTCATCAAAAGGCACTAAGTGAAACAAGAAGCCAAACCCTGGAAGATGTTTGTTATACATATATCTAACAAACATCTCATATTCAGAATAAAGAACTCTACAAATCAATGAGAAAATGATGAAGAAATCAACTTAAAAATGAGCAAAAGACTTGAACAGGAACCTCATAAAAGAGGATTTCCAAATGGTCAATAAGCATATGAAAAGGTGTTCAGTATGATTAGTCATCAGAAAAATATAGCCACACAAGGAGGTGGCACCACACACCCATTGTAGTAGCTAAAATTAAAAAGACTGACAATGCCATGTGCTGGCAAGAATATGAAGCAATTGAAATTCTCATTTGGCACAATCATTTTGGAAAAGTATTTGACAGTGCATACTAGGGCTAAATATACGCCTACCCTATCACTCAATTCTCCCACTCTTCGGTGTATACTCAAGGGAAATGAGTATAAACACTGAATAAAAGACATACACAAGAATATAGTTGACCTTTGAACAATTTCGGGGCTTAGGAGCACTGACTTCCCACACAGTCAAAAATCTGCATATAAATTTTGACTCCCCTCCCCAATAACTTTGCTACTACCTACTGTTCACCAGAAGCCTTACCAATAACAGAAACAATCGATTAACACATATTTTGTATGTTAGATGTATTATGTGCTGTATTCTTACAAAGTAAGCTAGAGAAAAGAAAATGTTATGAAAATCATGAGGAGAAATTATATTTACTCTCCATTAAGTGGAAGTGGATCAACATCAAAGTCCTCACACTGAATAAGCTGAGGTGGAAGAGGTGGGAGAGGAGGGATTGGTTTTACTGTCTTGGGGTGGCAAAGCTGGAGGAAAATCTGTGGGCCTGTGCAGTTCAAACTTGTGTTGTTCAAGGGTCAACTGTATTTATAGCAACTTTATTTATAAAACCCCCAAACTTTGAACAACCCAATGTCCATGAATAGGAAAGTGAAGAGACGGTAGCATTCATACAGCAGACTACTACTCAGCTATAAACGAAAAACAGCCTACCAATACTCACAGCAAGGATGCATCTTAGACATTATGTTGAACAAAAGAAGCCAGGCACAAAAGGGAGCGTTACAGCAGTGAGTTCAAGGATAGGCAAATCTAGTCCAAGGTCATAGTTGTGAGTCTGTGTTCAGTTAAGTGACTTATTGAAGTGATGCAAGCTAAACTTTCTGGGGGTGAGGGGATGGGTAAGATGTTCTGTATCTTCATTTGAATGGAGGTTCAATGGATGGAGAGTTTTGACAAAACTCATTGAACTGCACATTTAAAATGGGCGTATTTTATTATATTAGAATTATACCTCAATAAAATTAGCTTAAAAAGAAAAAAAAATCATTGAGTTTTACACTCAAGAATAGTGTACTTTATGTAAGTTATATCCCAACTTTTAAAAGTTAAAAAAAAGAAGAAAACAGTTTAGAGCTGGGTGCCCTGTCACCTCCTTCAGGCAGATGAAACATAAATCAGTTCATATGAGGGTGGCCTGACTCTTTCAAGGCCCCCTCCCATCTCGAGCAGAGTTGGCATACATCTTCTCACATGCCGTACCCCTTGTCTGCTGTCTGCTGCTCACCAGTTGTTTGTGTGACCTGCGTCTGCTTTTTGTAGCTCCTCAAGTTCATCCCAGAGAAGAGTGACATTGACCTTCTCGAGGAGCACAAGCACGAGATTGATCGGATGGCCCGTGCTGACCGCTTCCTCTATGAAATGAGCAGGTTGGGGCTGTGGGTGTGGCAGGCAGGGCTGCGGTTGGGTCAAGTGGAGTTCTGCCAAGGGTGTGGGGAAGGGAAGGGAACAGTCTCAAGAGGAGGCCGGGCAGGGGGTGGGGAAGAGATCTCATGACGTAGCTTACCTTGCCCATAGGATCGACCACTACCAGCAGCGATTGCAGGCCCTCTTCTTCAAGAAGAAGTTCCAGGAGCGGCTGGCTGAGGCCAAGCCCAAAGTGGAAGGTAGGGTTGAGGGTTGGAGAAGGCCTTGAGTGTAGAGGCATATGGGATACACAGCGTGGTGAAAGTCAATGAACTGAGATGGGGGGGGGGGGGCTCCTTCCTTATTCTTTACCCAAAAGAAAAACTGAAGTCTAAGACAAAATTTAAAATGATAATTATTGTAAAAAATATGCACTTGATTATATTAGCATGTGCCAATCATGTGACACATTTCCTTTGCCTCAGCATTTAAACTCTCTAAGATGGGGCAAATGTTGACATCTAACCCAGCGTGGGAAGAAATTTAGAGATGATAATGATAGTAGCCAGCACCTAGAACAGTTCCTGGTTTGGATTGAGCTCATCAATATTTGAGAGTACACTTGAGAGGTACTAAGCTTTACAGGAGACCTCTGAGCACATTAAGTGAGAACCATTCAGAAGGTAGTAAAAACTGTGGCAGTAACCCTGGAGGCACCTGATTTTCTGAGTCAGGGAACCCCTCCAACTCAGGCCATTTCCAAATGAGAAATTTGTAACTAATTCGATGAGAACCCTGTGCCAAGCATGAATGGTCTCATCTGGTCTTCGCAACAGTCCCATGGGTGGCAGCGATTATTAACCTCCGTGTGCCTCCTTTCTCTCTCCTCTAAAATGGAGCTGAGTTCCCCAAGGCTACGCTACGAGTGGATGGTGGAGCCAAGATAGGAATGCTGATGCTGTTCTTCAAAATCAACCCACTCCAGCTTGTCCTGTAGTACTGCCCGAGGGCATCTCCCTGGGGCTACCTCTGGGGATGGCAGAGGCAGGATGGGCATGGAGTTGGGGGTAAAGGAAGGAGGGCAGGGTGGAGGGCAGACACCTGTACCTGGGCGGGGACAAGCAGAAGAGGCTGTGAGCCTCCCTTGTGGGGAGAACAGGATCAGCAGAGCAGAAAAAGACTGCCTGTGTCCAGGATGCTGAGGGTGCCGGGCTGGGGACAGAGCAGAGCATGGGCCCCCCCTGCTGGACACCAGGACCAGCCGGTGCTCCCTGAGATGCCCAATCCAGAGTGTCCCTTCCTGGAATCCAGTGAGCTGTTTCAAGGAGGATTCTGGAGATAGGGTGGAGCATGCAGAGTGAAAGGCAGATATTTTCTTTAGTCGTACCCTGTTTTCCCACACATCACACATATGCACACACAACAAAGGACCTGCAGGTATTGACCACAAATAACTGGTCTAAGGGACATAGCAGTAGTGACTCTCCTTTCCATCTCCAAGGTCTGATGGTGTCTCCTGCCCTGGTGATGGCTGAACCTTTATCTTCATCACGGCTTTCTTTCATTGTGTTACAGACTGCAGCACAAATAAGGGTTTAGCTCAAGACCTGTGTTCTCAACTATTTCTGTGTCTTGGGTCAGTGGAGTCAATGTGAACAAACAATTGCCATTTGGAAGTATGGAACCAGAGTAGCTTAGCCACCAGAAAGTTTTAATCTCAGACAGTTTCCTGCTCCCAGGAGCCTACTCCTAAGCTCTCTCTGACAGTCAGTGAATGCTCAGGAAAGAGAAAGTGTCTCTCTTTGATATCAAGCTAAGCAGAGCAAGACGTGTTTGGGATAGCAAAATCTGCTGGAGAAAGTTACTCTTTTATAGCTCTGAAATCGCAATGATTTCTGTCCTTGAGTGGTCCAGAGGTCTCTTTTCTCCAAGAGCTAGGTAGGTGGGATGGGTATGGAGTTGGGGGTGAAGACAGGAGGCCAGGGTGGTGGGCAGACATGCATACCTGGGAAGGGACAAGCAGAGGAGGCTTTGAGCCTCATGTGTGGGGAGGACAATATCAGCAGAGCAGAACAAGACAACCTGTGTCCAGGATAATGAGGGTGCCGTGCTGGGGAGCCTAAAGTTGTGCATGAAAGAATCAGATCAGTGTGCTTGCCTGGGGGTGGAGACAAGAGGATTGTGCAGAATTGGAATTCCTAGTCTTCCTTCCAATTCTCCCTGTAGATATTCCTAGGAGAGCTAAGATCTAGCCTATTCCAGCTGTTCACACCTGCATTCCCATTCCCCAGCAGGGACTCTGGTTCCATTTGCCAAAAGCAATTCACCAAATTTGACAAAATTTACCAATTCTTCTTTGAATATATTCATGAATTTATTCTTCTTGAATATATTCTTCTTATGAATATGTTTATTGCTGAATATACCAAATTTACCGATTCTTATTATGAATACATTCCCTAAATATAGTCAAGACGAATACAGTTGCAAATGTAATATTCTTATGAATATATTCATGAATATATTATTCTTATGAATATATCTAAAATGTCAGGATTGCATATGGGAGTTTTCCCATTTGCACTGATTTCCTTTGAACTCTTGTCATTTTCTGTTTTGCCAACACTTTAGCATTTTTCAGAGGATTCCTTTGCAAATTTTTCAAATAGCATATCAACCTTAGAAAAACTATCCCAATGAATATAAATTCCCAGAAACTTTTCTAAGTAGTTTTTTTTAAAAATAAACTTTTTATTGAAATATAACATGCATATAGAAAAGGACACAAATCATAAGAATCCTGCTGGATGAATCATTATAAAGTGAGCCATGTGTGCAGTCAACCAACACCCAGGTCAAACAGTGGAATGTTTCCAACCCCAGAGCCTCCTCTGTGTCCACTCCCCACCTTTGCTCCTTTCCTCCTCTCTAAACTCTCTTGGCTTCTAGATTTGGTTTAACTGTTTGAGCTTTAGATAAATGGAAAAATGTAGTGGGAGTAATTTTATGCTGGTGTATTTTGCTCACCATTACAGTTGTGAGTTAACCCTAATGTTACATGTAGCAGTGAGTTACTCATTTTCAGTGCTGCATTTTATTCCATTATATGAATATATCATAATTTACCCATTATCTTCATAATTAAACACACAGCTCAAATACCTACCGAGAGTCATGCTACTTTTAGGTCATAGAGTATGCATGCTCCACTTGGAAGCTATTGACAAACCTTACTTATTACTTATTTTTATAGCCTCTTCTTTGCAGTTACTTATTTTTAACTGCTTTTGAATTTTTTTTCAAACTTTTAGTCAAGTGGTTTTCATTTTATCTTCATAGCAGCATCTTAAGGAATGTTTCAGTTTCACATAAGCCGAAGATCAAAGAATAATTTGGTTTTCTTATCACCACATTTTAAATTCAAAAAGCATATTCTATAACTAGTAGACAAAATCTCAGTGTGGGATTTGTATCACACCTCTACACAACCAGTGTAAATACATTAGAGTGAAATACTGAAGTTTTGATTACTGTTAGCTTAGTTTGTATCTCTAGCAAATGTTATCAGTCAAAGCATTGGTGGAAAAGAGTAAAATGCCTAAAGTTTGGAAAAAAATCATAAAAATTATATTCAACAGGATGTCAAGTAACTTATCTGATCAACTCTTGGACACCACTGACTATAAAGCATGTCACAAGAACATAAATATGAGAATATTATAATTGATGATGTTATTTAACTCACAATTTTTTTCCCCCCAAAATCAATCAAAGATTTCATTTTTAAACAGGCAGAAATAATCTCATAATATGCAAAATACTGAAATGAAAGTTTTTAATTGCTAAGTTTAGAAAAGAAAAAGTATTATATCCATGAGTATATTCATATAAAAAAAAATTTAAAAATCTTTACATGCAAGAAAAAATCTTGTCAGATATACTCAAGAGAAGTTGGCACGTTGTGAGAATGGGTTGTCTGATGACTTGGCCTTGGTGAGCTTGTCTGCTTCCCCTGGAGATGGGTGGGTGTGGGGATGGGAAGTAAATCGGAATGAAGACACTTAGTCCCTTTCCTGAACTTCATGGTAGCATCTTCCTGGGGTGCAAAGGGACCTGCGGCTGTGACCTAGTCTGTGCAGGGCTCTGATCTGTCTTCCTCTCCCAGCCATCCTGCTGGCCTCCCGGGAGCTAATCCGCAGCAAGCGTCTAAAGCAGATGCTAGAGGTCGTTCTAGCCATCGGCAACTTCATGAACAAAGGGCAGCGTGGGGGTGCCTATGGGTTCCGGGTGGCTAGCCTCAACAAGATCGCCGACACCAAGTCCAGCATCGACAGGTGGGAGCCCCCCTGCTTCCTCCTGAGGCTCCATCTCACCCAACCCTGGCCTCTCTCACCCTCTCTCTTATCCTTCCTCCATTTCCCATCCCAAGACTCATTGCCTCTTAACACCCTGCCTGGTTTCCCCCGACCCTCATTTCCAGTTCCCTCTATCCCTTACCCGTGACCTGACTTTCATTCACAGAAACATCTCTCTGCTCCATTACTTGATCATGATTCTGGAGAAGCATTTCCCTGACATCCTGCACATGCCTTCGGAGCTGCAGCATCTTCCAGAAGCCGCCAAAGTCAAGTGAGGGGGTCCCTCCAAGGCTTCCTTCTCCTATGATCACGCACACTCTTGTCTGACTTTCCTCCTTCAAGGCCTACTCTGGGCTGACTAGGAATGGGCTACATCTTAGGGTCTGCTTCTGGGAGAACCAAAGACAATTTGTCCTTAAATCCTTATTTCAGAAAGGTTTCCAGAAAATACCAGTAGAGGAGTAGTGGCCAGAGGTAGAAAGAATGCCAGTAATGGGAACATCATCCAGCCAGTTACCACTATGGGCAGTTGGAGCTCAACCCAACTAAAGAACTTTGGGAGACAGTGTAGAATACTCGCTTCAATTATCCCACCCAAAGGACAAGGTTGCTGGGGTGCTCACACAGCATCTTCTGTTGGTCATTGGCCGAGGGGCCCTGCAGGAGGTGAGGGTGCGTAACTCTCTGGCCATGGATACAGGTGGAGGGGACTTGGCCTCAGAAAAAGTGCTCACACAGTTGGAAGAGTCAGGGCCACATGCTACAGTGGATGGTCCAAGGAAATTTGGGTGGGACACCAACAGCATCTGCCACAAGTAGGAAGTCAGACCTGAACATATAGGCTAAAAGAAGCTGTCTCCAGGAGAGCCAGGCATGTAGTGGACATGGCTGACAAGCATCGAATGCCACTGTGTGCAATATACCACGTTAAGAACTTTTCTTGTTTTGTTTTTTAATGTTAATTTTATTTATTTATTTATTTTTACATTAAGAGCTTTTAAGCATTACCTGGTGGTAATGAAAACAAACCTAAGCCAGAGGCCATTTGTTGAAGCACTTCTGATATGCAGCGTTATACTTCTGATCCAGAAAGATCCATTGAACACAAGTTCCACCCTGCTTTTTTATGAAAACACAGAAGCTAAGCCGGGCTTGGTGGCTCAGCCTGTAATCCCGCGCCTTTGGGAGGCTGAGGTGAGTGGATTGCCTGAGCCCGCGGGTTCGAGACCCGCCTGGGCGGCGAGACCTCATCTCTACAATAAATCAAAAAATCAGCCGGGTGTAGTAGCGCATGCCTGTAATTCCGGCTACTAGGAAGGCTGAGGCGGAAGGATCGCCACAGCCCAGCAGGTCGAGGCTGCGGTGGCCGGGAGCGGCCACTGCACTCCAGTCTGGGCGACAGAGTGAGACTCCAACTCAAAAAACAAAAAAAGAAAAGAAAACACAGAAGCATGAGGGGAGGTGGCCAAAACAGGGCTGGAATGCACGCCAGGGTCACATGTCAGTGACGAAAGTGTGTTTGGGACCCATGCCCACTATGGAGACCCACAGTTGACTCCAAGGCCACTGTGTTTTGTATTGTCTTCTCCCTGAACCAGCCTCAGCCCCTTGAGCTGATGATTCTCCTTCCCCTCCATGTCTCCTCACAGCCTGGCAGAGCTGGAGAAGGAGGTGGGCAACCTCAAGAAGGGCCTGAGGGCAGTTGAGGTGGTGAGTACATCAACTGTCCTATTTGGGTGAGGGGTACCACTGGCACATGCTTTCATGCTGCCTGTCACCACATCCTAAGCTGCTCTCTTGGGGACAGAACAACCAGCACAATGGGTACAGCCTCTAGTCCATGGTCAGCCCTTAGAAAAGGGTGATTGGGCTACCTGGAGCTTAAGTTTGAACTTCCAAACGGTGATGTCTGAGGCCTTACCCATGTCCCTGTCCAACATGGAGTCTCCTTGGCAATAGACCAGAAATCTGCTGCATGCTCAAGTTAGCTTCAACTGCATGGGAAAAGAGGATCCTCATCCCTTAACACTTGGCTGGGGACAGGCAGCCCACAGTGTGGCAGTGGAATTGATGTCTCCAGAGGGTTCTTCCTTTTATCTCTTTGCCTCTTCCCTGGGCCTGTGGAGGACCCAAGGGCTGATCCATTACTGGAGACTCAGGTCTCTTGTCTCCACCATTCCTGTTCTGATGGCTCCTCTGCTCATACTATCTCTGATTGTAGGCTTCCAGAAAACACCAGAATAGGAGTGGGGAAGTGAGCCTGACTGACCCAGCAGGGGATGTCCCCAAGTCTTTGTCCCCCACATTTCGGAAAAAGAGACCCTTCCCATCTTCACTGTGCTAGGAGGGGATGGATAAAGGGAGAATGGACTTAGAAACTGAGGTTAGGAAATGGGCTTGGTGGCTCAGCCTGTAATCCCACACGTTTGGGAGGCTGAGGTGAGTGGATTGCCTGAGCCCACAGGTTCGAGACCCGCCTGGGCAACTTGGTGAGACCTCATCTCTACAATAAATCAAAAACTAGCCGGGTGTGGTAGCGTGCACCTGTAGTTCCAGCTACTTGGAAGGCTGAGGCAGAAGGATCGCCAGAGCCCAGCAGGTCAAGGCTGCGGTGGCCGGGAGCAGCCACAGCACTCCAGTCTGGGCGACAGAATGAGACTCCAACTCCAAAAAAAAAAAAAAAAAAAGAAACTGAGGTTAGGTTAAGTATGAGAAAGAAACACTTGTTGCCACTATGGTGGGAGGAGGATGATTCCCAAATTTCTGACTGTATAGTCCTGTAAAGTGCTACTCAAAGTGTGGTCCATGGACCAGCAGCATCCATATCAGCCGAGAGCTTTAAAAACGTTTTTAATCGGCAATCACCTGGGGGTCTTGATAAAATGCAGCTTTGGACGCAGTGGGTCTGAGAGTATATTTCTTACAATATCCCAGGTGATGCTGCTTGACCCAGGCTACACTTTGGGTCACAAGGCTCTAAAGAAATATGGCAGTGGCAGGGGAGGGGGAAGGGTAGAGGCAGGGTGGACTGGCTGCTCTCTTACTCTTCACCACCCTTAGAATTGTGAGACTTGGGGTACTGGCTCTTCCAAAGGGCTCAGTGTCCTGTGAGTAACAAAGGGTGGGAGATGTAGTGACCCCTGCATTCCTGACACTTATCCTGTCACCAATCTAAGCAGTGGTTCACTGCCCCCCCCCCAACCTCCACCTCCTCAGGAGCTGGAATATCAGAGGCGCCAGGTGTGGGACTCTAACGACAAGTTTGTCCCAGTCATGAGCGACTTCATCACAGTATCCAGTTTCAGTTTCTCAGAGCTGGAGGACCAGCTAAATGAGGCCAGGGACAAGGTAAGGGTGCCCCAAGCTCCCACATTAACTCCCAGCCCAACCCCGACCGCCATTGCTCTCCAATCCAGCCTTATCTAAACGAAGCTCCTTCATTCATCCCTACCGCAGACAGCCCCAAAGGGACAAACTCAGTCACAGAACTTGGAGAGAAGACCTTTTCCTCCTTCCTGCAAGACAGGCAATGATAACCACATACTGTAAAAATCATGGTCCATTTAGCAGGTGCCAGGCACTGTGTGAGGTGTTTTAATGATTAGTCTCACTACCCGCCTTATGGGTTGGTGGAAAGGTTATTATCCCATTTGACAGCTGTGAACAATGAGAGTCAGAGAGGTTAAGTAAGCTGCCCAAGGTTGCTCAAATGTAAAGGATAGAACTGGGTTAGAATCCCAACTCTGCAGCTCAGCTTTGGACTTGGTGGCTATGCCTCTGCCTGCTTCTCACACTAACATGCACGTGGACACTATGTGTAGGGGTCTTATGAACATGTGAGTTCTCATTGAGGAGCCCTGGGGTGGGGCCTGAGATTCTGCATTTCTAACAAACTCCCAGGAGGTGCACATATTGCTGATCCATGAAGCACGCTTTGACTGTTGAGTTCTTTCATCCTAGCGGATACAGAGCAGGTTGCATTAGAGACGGTAGCTCTCAGCAGAAGTCAGAACAGTACCCCGCACATATAAGTAAAGCTGGTTCTTTATATCTATTAACTTATTAACCCCTGCAACAACACTATGAAGGAGGTTCTATTATTATCTTCACTTGATAGATGAGAACGCTGAGGCACAGAGGGGTGACATCATTAACCTGATAACTAGATGGTCTCTAAAGTCCTGCTGAGTTCTGACTAGACTGTTCCCGACCTTAGGAGGGGCTTCCCAAGGTCAATACTGCCTGATCCCATACATAACAGGCCAGACTACCCAATTCCCTACCTCTCAAGGGTGTCAGTCTCAAACCTTTCCTTAACCTAGTACCTTCCCCTGATGATAATGGGGTTTCCCTGCCACCTCTAGCCCTATCCCTCATGCCAACCGTTTCCAGCCTTGGACTGGCCTCAGCTCTAGCTGGAGCTGGCTAACCTAGGGGCTGAGTTCACCATGCCTGGGGGTGACTGTTGACCAACACTTTTCCCTCCTTCTACAGTTTGCCAAGGCCCTGATGCACTTCGGGGAGCATGAGAGCAAGATGCAGCCAGACGAATTCTTTGGAATCTTTGATACTTTCCTGCAGGCCTTCTCGGAGGCCCGACAGGACCTGGAGGCCATGAGGAGGAGGAAGGAGGAGGAGGAGCGGCGGGCACGCATGGAAGCCATGGTGAGAGGGCTGGACTGGGCCTGGGGCCAGGACCCAGGGGAGAGAGGTCGGACTGAGAGGGATGCTACTTGGGGAGAGCACCTCCGAACTGGGGTGGGTGCTAGGAGGGCAGAGACTGAGGAACACGGTAGGAACTGATATCAGCCCCACAAGGCAAGAGAAGCGTCTTCCCAGCCCAAGCAAAGAGAAGCGTGAGGCGGGGAAGGAGGAAAGCCTGAGACAGCATGGCACAGCCTAGGAGCCCAGAGCTGGGAGGGCACTGGTGTGGGAGTGGGACAAGGGGGCTGCCCTGACCTCAGCCTGCATCCCTGAGAGGATCCCTCACTCCCCACCCCCAGCTGAAGGAGCAGAGGGAGCGCGAGCGGTGGCAGCGACAGCGGAAGGTCCTGGCTACGGGCAGTTCCCTGGAGGAGGGTGGCGAGTTCGATGACCTGGTGTCGGCCCTACGCTCCGGGGAAGTCTTTGACAAGGACTTAAGCAAGCTCAAGCGCAGCCGCAAGCGGTCAGGGAGCCAGGCCCTGGAAGTCACCCGGGAGCGGGCAATAAACAGGCTAAATTATTGACCTGGGGACTGGCCATGCAGTAGGCCAGGAGATAGGGACGGGCCGCTGGGGGAGACTGAGTGGAGGAGGCGGTGATACTTAAACAATTTGGTGCTCATCTAGAGTCCTGGGCTGGATCCTGGGGTGGGGGGCTGTGTGTGGCTGGACCAGGTTTCTCCCCACACTTACTTTAAGGGGCTCCTCTCCTCTCCCCTCTGTATGATTCCTTCTGTATCTCAGCCCCACCCCCCTGCCCCAGGGCCATTCTCTGAGTCTGGCTTGGATATTCCTGGCAGGTCTCTGGCCAGGTAACCCCAGACTGAAGGGCCCTGCTTCCCATTCCCCACCTTGGGTATCCAATCACGTGTTGGCACAGAGCTATTCCAGATACAGATTGGAGAGGTCCTTGGACCATGTGCAGGGGGAATTAATGCCAGGGGGGACCACCTGAGAGCCAGGGTGAGGGAATCCAGACTCCCATGTCTCGAGGAAAGGCTCAATAGAACATTGATCTGGGGGTGAACTTTCCTCTTGGATGGAAACAAGAGACATTACATATTTTAGCTAGATCAGCTCTGGAAGGTTCCAGAAAAAAATGTTGGAAAGATGATGCAGGGACCAAAGCTACCAGGACAGAGTAGCAGTGCCTGTTTCCTATGTCATAAGTCCTTTGGCCTCTCTCTGGCATGTTCTCAGTGTCCTTCCCTTCCTTTCCTACCCCCACCTCCATCCTATCTACTAATTCACAACCCAGAAAACTCACCTGTGGGTTCTCACGCTCACTACCAGGTACTTGATGAATCTGGTAAGGGAAGGGGTTCAAGAAAGACCTCATTCATTACCACACCTCATGCCTTGGACACATCCCTATGGGCATACCCCATGTCCCCACCTCCCTGTACAATCTGGCCATTGTTGTAAAGCCAGACAGTGACCTCACGTGTTACCTAGGGGTTCCCTAGAGCCCCTCACCAGAGGGCGGCACTTGGAAGCCTGGCTCCGCTCAATAGCTCCTTAGTTGACCACTTCATATAAATCACTCAGCCCCCCTCCCCCAAGCCACAGTGGCCTCTGCTCTGTCCAGCATGTGGGAGGCCACTTGGAACCAAGCATCCTAGCTGAGGCTGGTGCTGGGGAGTCGGTTCCTGGGGGAGTCCCGAGGCCCAGAGCTGCCCTCCACACTGACATGTCTTCTCAAAGGATGTTCCCTCCTTTGGGGTATCCAGACAAGGCCATCAGAAGAGCAGGCAAGAGAAATTGGGGAGATGGGGATGGAGGGGTAGAACAACTTCCTTGGGGAAGTGCTCTGCCTGAAGGAGCCAAGAGGAGGGCTGGGGGGGGGTCCCATCCCCCATATCTGATACCTAATTTGCTTCTTCAACCTGACTTGCAAGGGGCCCATTCTGGTCCTCCCAGCTACTCCCCTTCTATTTTGTCCATCTTGAGCTGTTCTTGGTGGATGGGACGGCTTTATCTAGATAAGAATTTCTTCTAAAGGAGGAGGGTGAAGTCAACTCCATCAAGGCTCTTATTTTCAGCAACCACTCAGAGTTGACCTCCCATCCTCTGTGAGACAGTGCTGTCTGACCCCACCAACCAGCTCCTGGCCTTTCTGCCCTCTGCCCTCCCCTTTGTGTTTCTCACCTTTCAAGCTAATCCCCGGCTCAGGGTTATTGCCAGTGGACAGTCTGGTGGGCTGGGCCCACTCTCTGCTGTCTATCTTCTGCCTTTTGTCTACATCAGATTCTTGGGGGGGGGGGTGGAACCATAGTAGCTGCAAGGGAAGAAACACAGGGTTGGTGAGCCCAGCATGTGCGTTGGTTCGAGGAGTGGGCCGGGTGTGTGTTCTGGTGGGAGGGATCTGAGCAAGTGCAAGCCTGGGCCAGCACAAGTGTGAAGAGGACATCCTAGAACCCACAGGAGGGCAAGATGAAGGCTTCCAGGAAGAGCAACTGCAGAGTCTTACTATACCTATCTGCAGCCCCAAGGTACCCCACTGTAAGATGCAGGTGTTGGGATGATGGAGAGGTTGCAGGTAAGGCCTCTTAAGGTCTTTTCCCAAACCGGCTGGGCTGAGGTCAACCTAACCCCCAAGAGGCCAGGAACAGGGGAAGGCTCCATAAGCATGTCCAACTCCTGGCATTCCCACCCACCATGGAAGACTGCATATGTACCTGGAAAGTCAAGGAATATGGAAGCTGTTCAAGACACATTCAATCCTCAGAAAAGCAGAGCTTGGTTTAACTGTTTACAGAGGACACAAATGTTGTTTCAGAGCCCAACCTTCTCACCCCAAAAGATATTTCTTCTCTATTTATTATTTTCTGGATCTGGCCAGTGGCTCTGGTACTAGGCGCCATGTAACTAGATCTCCAACAGTGCCTTGGACCATGGATCATGGTGGCCAACTGGGGCCCAATGGGGGTGGCTGGGCTGGTCCTTGAAATGTTCAGTGTTTCAGTTTATTAATACATTCCTCAGTCTTGCTTTCCCCATGTCCTTCATACTTCTCCTGCCACCCTTGGATAAATTTCTCTCTAATTTTATGACCAATGTACAACTCCTCAACCTAATGCAACCTCTTCCCTTCTCAGCAGCAGCACTTACTCCCCCATGATGGAAAGCATTTAGGGCAGTGGGAGGAGAAGATTCTCCAGGTGGGTGGGGAAGGGTCTGGTCCAGCCTTTCCCCACCCCATCCCATTTCCACCAGCTGGGGAGCTGCACCATCTCCCCCCACCTCTACCAGGGATGCCTTCATGCCAAGGCTGTTCTCACCAGCTGCCTCAGATGACAAGTGAGGCTCATGGACAAAATCTGCAGTGTCCTTTTCACTTGCACCTTTTTTTTATAAGAATATATTATAATACTAAAAAATATTAAATCTGTACCATCCCTACCCAACCTGCCTTGAAACTTGTGCCTTCTTCCCATGAGGGGTCTTGGGGAGGGCTGGGGAGTGGGCACAGCAGCTTGTACCAACTCCCTGGGAACCAACTATTTACATTTTCAGGAATTTCGCAAGCCACTTGACATTATTTTGGTAGCCTGAAATTGGTTGACATGGGAGTATTTGTATCACAGAAACTGCCTTTCCCGGAGAGCTGATTGTTAAACACTTGCCAGCACACCTAGGCATAGGGCAGAGGGGAGGCCGGCAGTGGGAACCACTGAGGTCGGAGCCAAAGATGCCAATCCACATTAGAGACCCCAGCAACCCAGAGCAGTGTTTGGAGATGTAAAAACTAGGAGCCTCTAACTGCACTCCCCTGGTTTTGAATAGCTGCTGATAAAAGCAATGAACTTCAGACACCTCTCTCTACCACCTGACAGAAAATTCACCTTCGATGGTGCCTTCCTATGCCTTCTACTCCACTTTACATTCTCCCATAGGGGTCCTCCTCCTCTTCCACTAGGAGAGATGTTGGAATAGGGTTGATAGGTTCATCCTTTCTCATGAACTTGTAGCAACTCAGTGCCCTCCACACAGACACAGCCTTCATTCTGGCATCCGCAAAGTTGGCATCATAGCTTTATTAGTGCACTGTGAAGGTGAAGGCAGTCTTCAACTTTCTTCTTTCCCTGATATGTTCTAGAATAAAGAGGAATGGGTAAAACGGCCACAAGCAGGGCCAGGTGGGGGTGATGTGGTCCGTCAGGAGTCCTAGGGGCTGCAACCTATGTGTGTGCATCCTGTGTAAGAGGAAGGGGGCCTGAGGGAGCTAGCAGGATAGGACAATTGTTCATCTGGAAGCCCAGAAGTTTGATGAAATAGACTCGGGCAGGAGAGATGGGGGAGGAGAGGCAGGGCAGGGCTGCAGCTTCACAGACTTGGAAAGACAGAGCTTTCTTCATGCAAGCTTGTGCTTTGCTCTCCTCAGAGTGGGCTTCTCTGCTTATGAGCCCTTATTTTCTCCCCAGGAAAGTAGGTGAAGAGAAAGCCCAAAATGAGAAGTCAAAGTTACAGGCTGGACTGTCTGAAACTGGTTGTCTAAAATAATCCACAATAATAGAAGTGATTTTTCGGTTATCTAGCATTGCTCATTGCAACCCCCTCCCATGACCTGCATGTCCTGGAAGGCTTATGGGCCTGCTGGTGTCCTCTCTGTAGAAAGGAAACCCCACGGGTCATCAGTGATCATCAAGCAGCAGACATAGCAGTAGAATAGGCTGACTTCAGGTTCTTACTGGTAAAGGTAAACAGAGACTGGATTGAAGGAACTTGACGTTTTTCCCTCAACCCAAATTCACCCCATTTCTAGACCTGGCTGGGCCATGAGTAGGAGGGCAGGAGCTCTAAGCTCTATGGAAGTCCCCCCGCTGACCGCCAGTCTTGCTAATGAGCTTGATCTCCCCCAACACAATGTCCCTGCTGACGGCCTTGCACATGTCGTACAAGGTGAGGGCGGCCACAGTAGCAGAGGTCAGGGCCTCCATCTCCACCCCAGTGGGGCCCCGTGCCCGGCAAGATGCCTGGATCACCACGGCATGGTGCATGCTGTCCAGCTCTAGCTGCACCTGAACATGGCTCAGGGCCACGTGGTGGCACAGAGGAATCAGCTGGCTGGTCAGCTTGGCCGCTTGAACCCCAGCCAGCTGGGCCACCACCAGGGCATCTCCCTTCTTGAGCTGGTTCTGCTGGACGAGCTTGAAGGCCACAGGCCCCAAGAGGACCACGGCTGAGGCCACAGCCACCCGGTCTGTGTCTGGCTTCCTGCCCACATCTACCATAGCTGCCCGTCCTTCTGAGTCCACATGGGTTAGTTGTTCTGAGGTTGACAGGGGTTCTAAGGGGGTGGCAGGAGCCCAGGTTCCTGGGCTAAGGCACTTGGAATTGTTATCTGAGTCTGCATGAGAAGTGTAGTGTCTATAAGGAGAGTAAGACCCCAACTGACACAGGGCTAGGAGTTGGGTCTGGGAGACCCCGCATCCTTTCCATAGAGTTGCCATCTGGTTGGAGAAACTCACTCTGGGTTTCAGACCCTGAACATGGAAGGTGTCCCGGGAGGAAATGCTCAGATTGGCTGGTGGGGAATCTTGGAACATCAAAAATAATTCTGCAAGGCAAGAAGAAAAGAGAAGAAAGACTAAGTTCAAAAGGCAATTTTTTTTCTCTCCTCTACTCCCCAACCCTCTCCCTATCCCACCTCAAATTCTCTCTTTCACACCGAGGAAAGAGGAATGAAGGACAAAAAGCATAGTGAGAAGAGACAAAACAGAAGCTACAGATAGATGGTACCCACAATACAAGCCCACAGCCCTTCTCACCAGGTGGTGCACAGGGCAAAGCCCCCCGGAGACTGCCATGCCATGCCATGCCACGGTGTTATAGGCTTCCTCCTCATGAAACCTTCTTGTTTCCCAAATTCTCTTAAGAAGCACCTAAAGTCTGAAGACTGAAGCCTGGACCACAAAATCTCTCAATGTCCCTTAAAACTGTAGCTAGGTCTCACCCACAAATTACCAATTATACTTATTTTCATTTTCATATTCTCTATGATGAGTTACTGTAATCATTCAGTTTACAGACAAGATACTAAGGGGGATATTTCATCTACTTAAATAATGTCTTTCAAGTCCCCTCAAGCACATCAAAAATGCACCCAACTGATGGGCCAATTTAGATGGTGCAAAGGTCCTGGGAGCTGTGCAGGCTCTTGTTAACCCAAGATGGTTGGTCCAGGGACCAGCAGCACCAGCACTGGCTGAGAACTCATGGGAGATGCAGAATCCCACTCCAGACCCCTGAGTCAGAATCTGAAACAACAAAATCCCTAATATTTATATGTATGAGAAAATCTGAGAGGCCCTGCTCTGGACAACGCTTGGTTTTATAGAAAGCAGACAGTTACTCTAAATCCCTGAGAATAACGACATTTGATATGAAGCACATGGTCTCCCAACTTCCAGCTTCCCATCATACTTTGAGCCCCAGACATGTCAATATCTGAGATACAACTTCCCAGCTCAGGAGAGGCCATCCAGGCCTTGAGGGTGCCTCAGCATGTACCAAGGTCCAACAAGAGGATGGTGATGCTGGAGGTGAGAGAAGAGAGTATGAAGTTTTCTTTTCAATGGCAAGTTGCCTTTTCTGGGTGGCCAGTGTGCAAAGGTGATCCTGGGGCTGGGTATGGTGGATAATTCCAGTAATCCCAGCACTCTGGGAGGCCAAGATAAGAGGACTGCTTGAGCCCAGGAGTTCAAGACCTGTCTGAGCAACACAGTGAGACCTCATCTCTACAAAAAATAAAAAAATTAGCGAGGTTTGGTGATGTACACTTGTAGTCCCAGCTACTCGGGTGACTGAGGTAGAAGGATTGCCTGAGTCTAAGAGGTCGAGGTTGCAATGAGCCTTGATCATGCAACTGCATTCCAGCCTAGGCAAAAGAGAAAGACCCTGACTCAGGTGGTCCTGAGGCCATCTCTCGGTCCACACCAGCCTACCTTCCTCTGAGCTCACTCTGTTCCAACCTCTGAAGAAAAGAGTACTTTCCTCTAGTTTTCCTCATTGCTTTCTCTTGTTCAGTTCAAGGACAAGTTCAAGTATAGCTCAAAGAACCCAGACCTAGATGTGAGCCAGGGGAGGAGGCCTTCTCTGCTCTAATTTGGGTACCATACCAGAGGGGCAACAGCCACCCTACAGCGCAGGAAGCAGCACAGCTCCTGGGAGTAGGAGATCATGAATGGCTCTATCAAAAGGGTGTTTTTGTCCAGGCACAGTGGCTCACACCTGTAATCCCAGCACTTTGGGAGGCCAAGGCAGAAGGATCACTTGAGCCCAGAAGTTTGAGACTAGCCTGGGCAACATAGTGAGACTTCATCTCTGCAAAGTATCAAAAAATTAGCTGGATGTGGGCCTGTAGTTCCAGCTACTCGGGAGGCTAAGACAGAAGGACTGACTGGACCCAAGAAGTTGAGGCTGCAGTGAGCCGTGATCTTGCAACTGCCCTCCAGCCTGGGCGACAGAGTGAGACTCCCAACACAAAATAGACAAAGAAACAAACAAAAGGGTATTTTTGTTTGGAGAATCCTATGCAGACATTTCTTTTTTTTTTTTTTTTTTTT